GTTTTGAAGAGATATTTGATATCGTATATTTCCTTGTTATTAGGGTTTGCTTTTAGCTCTACAATGAACATTGGTAGCGGTTTTTTCGTGTTTCATATTGTAAATGTTAATAGGGATATGGCCGAGATTATGTAGGGCTTCAGCGATTTCTTCGGTGCCAATAGACGAGTGCATATTTCTGAGTATAACTTTGAAATTTTTTTCTGGTTTTGGCTTGTATGTATAAAACTCAGTATTTTTTTGCTCTAGTTGCTGAACAATTGTTTTTTAGGCCTCGGGAGTTTTTACTTGTATTTTAACCTGCTCATTGCTTATGAGCTTTAAGTCGTACAGACTTGGAAGTTTCGATAAAAGCTTCATTAGGAGGGTAATGTTGCTTACTTTATCAACGAAGATTGGTGGGGGCTTGGGATTATTTTCTTTGGGCTTTGGGTCTTCATCGTTTTCTATTTCAAGAGATGAAAATCTATTTTCTTTAGACTGGGATTCACCTAGCCAGTTTTTATCAAGTTTTACTTGTTTTTTGGTACTTGATGGCTTACCTGGGGTTTCTCGGGGCCTGTTTTTGGGTTCTACTGTGGTCCATTCCTTACCTGGGGTAGGTTTATCATTGGAGGCTTGCTGTTGGTACAGTAATTGTAATTGCTTTTGAAGTAGCTCAATTTGATCCTGGATATTTGGATTTTTACTATTGGCCGAGGTGGGGCATTGTGAGCTCCACGAATTTGGTGACTGTCTTGAGATCGTCAGTTGTTGTTGCTGTTTCTGTTCTTTCTTTTCCGGTTGTTGCTGTTGCTTTTCCAGTTGTGTCTGTGATTTTTGCGGTGTTTCGGGCTGCAGAGGAAGTTGGGATTCTTGTTGCTGTTGTGACCTTTGTTGTCTATGCTGTTGTTGTTGTGGCTGAGACGATTCCTGCCCTCCCCTTTTGGGAGGGGTACGATTTAAGGGCATGTTGAAACTGGGTGTTTTTGGGGTATTTTTATCTCTTATTTTTTAAATATAAATATACTATGGCAACCCTGAAGTAGTGTCAATACTTAGAAGTGCCCAAAACATAGCATACTTTTAGGCTGCCTGTACATCCACTACTATTTTGTTGCTAGCACTTTTGTTTGTTTCTTTTCAACTCGGCGGAGTCTCACTTGAGAATTTATCACTCGCGCAGGTACAAATTTTTAATTTTAAATATCAATCTCCACTTTCACTCAGAACTTTTAAAGCACTCCTTAGTGTCAATTATTGTTAAATATTCACTATATTATTTTCTTGTCTTTTACTGTTTTTTGTTTTGATTTATCACTTTGTTCCACTATGTGAAATTTCACGTCCACTCGGTAGGGTTACCAGGAAACGAAATCATATCAATCAATCATCAATCTATTATTAATGAAAAAAAATGTATTTCTTCCGTCTTATTATGGGCTTTAATTATAAATTTTTTACATTAATGTGCAACGTATAAAAAAAAATAATGAAGTAAACATTTTCCTTTTTACCCAAATGGGCGTAATGGGCTACTTAGGCGTGTGGACTCTAGATCGTCTAACGCTCGAGCAATATGATAAATAAACATTGAAATTTTATAAAATTTTTTACGATCGCAAAAATCACAATTTTATTTCCAAAAGAGAACTTGTTCTGCAAGCGCGTGTCGATTCTGATTTGCTTTTTTTCCATAAAATTCTCTATCTATGAAGAAAGGCGAGAGAAAAAGAATAGCCGAGAAGGAAAAAGGAAAAGAAATGTGATAGGCAGGGCTGCAGTCAGGATTGTCAATCACACCAACGGATTGCCAATCACACAACAGGGTTGCATTCGAGGTTAGAGATGGAAAGGTGTTAACAACTCGGCCAATCTGACATTTGATCGACCTCGATCAGAAGCTTAATTTAACAACATTACTTAACTATTGTTATTTAAATACTTGGTTGAAATATCACCTATAGTTAAAAGGTCTTAGTTTAGGTTAGGGTATTGCTTTGCTCTTCGACAGGTCCAGCCTCCATATTTTGCTCAAGCCACCCACGCATTCTATTGGCCTCAACCACTCCATCATATGGGATTTGAGTTAACTGGCAATTTTCTACGTCCTTGATAACGTATCTATCATTCCCGAGGATTTTGTGCACGACGTAGGGTCCCTTGTATTTAGGGATGAGTTTTTTGTTAGTGCCAGCGGTAGTGTCTACATTTCTTATTACGACGAAGTCACCGACATTGTACTTCTTAGCTCTCACGCAATGTCTTAGAGAATATTCTTGACTACGTTCTTGGGAGCTTTGGATTGCATCAGCGGCATCGCGCCGGATTGTTTGCAGATCACGCTCTTCCCGTGCGCCAAGCTTATCCTCAAAGTATTCCGTAAATTCGTCTACTATTTCTCCTTTTTGCTCTACCCCGAAAAGAAGCATACTGGGCGATTTTTTTGTGGTACCGTGAACCGAATTATTCAATGCGTATTCTATTTGCAGGAGCCTGTTTGACCAGTCAGCATGATCGATAGGGTCGCTCAACTTGCCTAACATGGTTTTAATAACCCGATTAACCCTCTATACCTGTCCGTTAGCTTGCGGGGAAGCCACTGCAACCTTTACATGTATAATATTCCGCTTAAGTAGAAATTCCCCAAATTCTAAAGAGGTGAAGCAGGATCCTCTATCAGATATAATGCGCCTCGGTCTACTATAGTAACTGAAGTATTTCCCTAGGGCGGCGGTTACTTCCCGCGTACTCGTCGAATTCGTCGGGTATAACTTCACAAACTTAGTGAAGCTATCAATTACAACCAGAATGTGCTTCCTCTTAGATTTTAGTGACGGTAACGGCCCGAAATGATCTACATGCAACGTGTCGAACGGAACAGGTTTTTTAGGGATGCTATACAAGTGCCTCTCATTCGCTCGGACTGGTTGAGCATACATGATGCATTTAAGACAGTTATGAATAAAACGCTCTACCTTCTGACGCATTTGTGGGAACCAATAATAATCAAAAATTTTCCTTAAGGTTTTATCAACCGACTGGTGACCAATCTTCTCATGCATCAGTCTTATTATATTGTCTTCCATCTCACGGGGGATATACAAAACTTTGCGACCATCACGCCTAACTCTAAGGACAAGGCCATTTTCTAGTTCGAATCCCTTCACCTCTGCTTCCTGTAACTGGTCTCGTATGTTTTTGATATTTTCGTCACATTCTTGGGCAATTTGTACTTGCAATTCTACTTCGTCAACGTCTAAAGTCACACCTACTTGGCAGCGACTCAGTGCGTCCGCGTGCCCCATCAGAGCACCGCTACGGTGCACTATCTTATAATCGTATGATTCGAGCTCCAGAGCCCACCTCGCTATCCTCGGATTAACTTGTTTCCTCTCTAAGGTCATGGCAAGTGAGTTACAGTCTGTAACTATTTTGAACGGGATTCCCTCCAAGTAGACTCTAAATCGACGTAAAGCATAGATCAAAGCTAATGTCTCTAGTTCGAAACTGTGATATCTGGCTTCTGTAGCGGAGGTACTCTTGGAGAAGTATGATATTGGATGGAATTTCTCATCATGTTGTCGTTGCAGTAAGACTGCACCAAACCCAGTCGTGCTGGCATCACAGTGGAGTTCTGTCTCTCGTGAGGGGTTATAAATGGCTAGGATTAGAGGTTCTGTTAACTTGGCTTTAAGTTGTTTAAATGCGGCAAGGCAGTGTTCGTCGAAGTTAAAGTCAGTGTTCTTTTTCAGTAAGTTAAGCAGTGGTCTGGAAATTTTAGAGAAGGACGGCACAAACCGGCGGAAATACGAGAACAGACCTATGCAGGAGTGTAACTGTTTTTGATTGGTTGGAATTGGATATTTTTGTATATCTTTCACATGTGATTCACTTAAAGTGATTCCGCGTTTGGATACAGAGTATCCCAGATATTCTATCTGAGCATATCCGAATTTGCATTTGGACAAGTTTAACTTCAAACCCCGTTTACTAATCCGCTCGAGTAGTGTCCGCAATAAAGTCATATGTTCCTCGAAGGTTTCCGTCGCTATAACTATATCGTCCATGTAAATGATTACTTTCCTTGCCTCGACTAAGTCTCTAAATATATCATTTATAAATCTTTGGAAAACGGCCGGGGCATTCTTAAGTCCGAACGGCATTTTAAGGTATTCGTACTGTCCATTCGGCGTCACGAATGCAGTATAGGGAATGGATTCAGGTGACATTTTAACTAGGTGAAACCCATTTTTAAGGTCCAAAACCGAAAACACCTTCTTGCTCTCGAGATATTCTATACAGTCTTCTATTAGTGGTAAAGGGTAGTTATCCCGCACAGTTATTTTGTTCAAACCCCTATAATCAACACACAGACGCCTTTGGCCGTCCCTCTTCTTTACGAGAACTATAGGGGAAGCGTAGGGGGAATTACTGGGACGTATAATCTCATCTGACTCTAAATCTCTTAATATATTCTGAACTATACTTCGCTCAGCGTACGATAAACGCCTAGGCGCGCAATGAAACGGCACATCAGTTGTTAGGTGTATCTTCATTTTATATTCCATCGGTTCTACTCTAAGGGCTTTCGGCTGTAAATAAGAGTCTAGGATCAGAGTATTTAGTTCGGCACGCTGACTGGGATGTAAGGAAAAATCTATGTCTAACTCTTCATTTCGGCAGGCTATTTCAATATTGAATATATCCGGCACTTCGGCAGCGACACTACAGCCGGCACTAACACTCTTACTTCTAGCGGGCATATTTTCAATGTTAAGTGGCTTATAAGCTTTCAAGAGGCTAAACTTGCTTAAGATTTCGACCAAGTCGTCCGGCAGGGGAGTGCAAGGAATTCCGTTTCTATAGGATACCAAATCGCTTTTCGCATATCTATTTTTTATTTTAGTTAACCGTATGTTAAACAATTTCAAGAAATCACGTCCAAAGATGACGGGCACTAACATCTCATTATCAGGCAAAATATTTATTTTAACATTTTTTATTTCATTTTTAAATTTCACAAAACATTGTATTTCACAGAGTATATTCAACTTAAGTCCACCAATGCTGCGATAGTTATGTTGCGGATTGTTTAAAGTCACTAAGTTGTTCGGCACACACGATTGCTTCATAAAACTTGTTGGACTACCCGTGTCAAAAAGAGAAATGAATTTATTAAAGGTTGCACTCTCCCGCGGGTTGGTCTTAAAAGCAATACTTACAAAGTTAAGTGATTCCAATTCCATGAGTTCATCTTCTAGAACGGCGGCAACTTGTTGATCGGCAATCGGCTTCAAAACTTTCCTAGGATTGGTGCATGAATAGTGGTCGTGCCCCATTTTCCAGCAGCGGAAACACGAACCACTGGGTCGCATCGGATATGGGCAGCTTGGCTTTATATGTCCCCTCATAGAGCAGTTGAAGCAGAGCGATTGGCTGTTCTTCGCAGCTTCGTTGCTAACCTTTCCAGCGGCAGGTTGCTTACCGGAGGCGGCAGGTTGTTTAACGGTGACGGCAGGCGTTATACGCCGAGTGATGTTGGAGTTTGGCTTGAGGTATTTTGTGTAATATCGATTCACTAACCTCTTTAGCTCATCCAGTGACTGCGCCGGCATAAGCAAGTTGATGTTGTTGATTTTGTTTCCGATACCGTCGAGAATTAGGTCGATAACATCGGTTTCCCGGATGCCGCCCTGCTTCGCCAAAGATTGCATGGTCAAAATATAGCAGTGCAGGGACTCTTCAAGGTGTTTCCACTTCCGTTCGGTCAGTGTTCGATAGACGTCCTGGCGACTGACTGCACTGTCGAATTCTTCGATGACCGCCTTCTTTAGGTCTCGATAGTTAAGAGCAGACGTCGTGGTTAGGAACACTCGAGCTGTTCCCTGTAGCGAGCGGCGTAAGCTTAGCAGTTTGAACTGATCGTCTGCATTGACAGTTCGCATAATTTCTTCAAAGTCCTCAAAGAAATGGTGCACTGACCGTGTGGAGTTATCACCAGTAAATTTTGGTACAGCGTGTTCGATGTCCGCGAACGAGGCTCTGCATCCGGTGGGCCTACCAATCGAGTTTTCCAACTCATAAATTTGTTTTTTTAGCTCCAACAGCTCGCGTTTCTTCCTTAGTTCCCTAAGCTGTTGATCCAAGGCATTGCCAGTAATATTGTGCAAAGCAGCGGAGCTAGTGTCGCTGGCTAAACTATTGAAGCCGTCGGGGATGCATGCAGCAGCAGAGCTTTCATAACCCAAGGAGCTGTTAATGGCGGCGACAGCGGTTTTGGCACGAATATTTGCGGCAGAAGATCTTTCGGCGTTGAAGCGAATTTCAACGACGGCAGTATTAGTGGCGACAGAGTGTAAGGCGACGGCAGAATTAGTGGCGGCAGAGTGTAAGGCGGCGGCAGCGTGTGGAGTGACGGCAGGATTAATGGTGGCGCCGGAAGCGGCAGAAGGCTTAGCGGCAGTAATATTAGCGACGGCAGTAGTATTAGTATTTGTGGTGACAGGCGTAGCAGCGGAATATTCACCGACGGCGGTATTAGTGACGGCAGCGCTGCTTTCGCAAACATAACTGGTACTTCCGTTAGGGCCCAAAGTACCGGTGGCGGCAGCTGTACGATGGGCAACGGTATCCTCAGCGTATGCACTAGGGCCAGTAGTAGGGGTAGCCCTACTTGGCTTTTCGATTCCCATGGCACTGGCTATGGTAGCGTCGTCGTCCGGAGCTGCCGAATCTTCCATGTCGGAGATGTTCTCTTCATCCTCCTCGTAAGGCGACTCGCTGATGCGGTGTTCAGCATAAAGACGCTTTAATTGGGCCACCGTGGCCGTCAGTGGAAAATTCACGCCAGCCGCCATAAGTGCATCGGCGAGATGCTGCTTGGTAAGGCGTTGTGGCATTTTTTAGTCTTTTTCAGGTTTTAGCTTTTAAACTTAACAATGGGTACTTGGACCCCACACCTGAAGCTTTTACGATCGCAAAAATCACAATTTTATTTCCAAAAGAGAACTTGTTCTACAAGCGCGTGTCGATTCTGATTTGCTTTTTTTCCAGAAAATTCTCTATCTATGAAGAAAGGCGAGAGAAAAAGAATAGCCGAGAAGGAAAAAGGAAAAGGAATGTGATAGGCAGGGCTGCAGTCAGGATTGTCAATCACACCAACGGATTGCCAATCACACAACAGGGTTGCATTCGAGGTTAGAGATGGAAAGGTGTTAACAAATTGTATATTTCTGAAAGAGCAATGGTATGTAAAAAACAAAAACAATATGAATGAATCATACTAACTTTACTAAAGGTCTGAAATCATGAAAATCTCTTCAAGGAAATGGCAGAATTGAACTTCGTTGCAAGTTCAGATGGCAAATCTACTTGCGAGGGGATTAGAGGAAATTTTAAGAGGCTAGCAGCTAGAGCAAGTCTTCAACTCCTGGCGTTACAACAAATTCGTACACCCGAAGCCCTCCACCAATGGGGTAAAAATAATTTAGAGAAAAAGAAGGTGCTGTATGTTTCCAATGTCTGTGAAAAATAACTGCAACTAACTTCACAGTGGACTTTATTTCGACTATGACTACGTGCCAATTATTTTATTCCTATATTAAGCTAGTTTAAAAGGTTAAATAACATCAAGTTAGGGCACTTCATATCCTTCTTTAACGAATCTTTAAATCAATAAATAATATTTTTCTTTTTAGTTCTTATTGTAATAAAAGCGTGTTGTTGTTTTTTTTAACTATAATTTTATTACTCATTAGGTTTATCTTTTTTACACATCTTTCCTTTTTCTTGTTTTAATAAAATGACTAACCTTGAAGCTATCATTGGAGGTGTAATATTCTTTTCCGATGAGCGTTGTTGATGGTGTTGATGTTTCGGTTTCATTGCAAAAGAATCTTAGATGAGTCTTCGTGTGCACAGACGGACGGATGGACGGACGGACAGTCACCGCTTAATCGATTTATCTTCTCATTCTGATCATTTATAAATACATTACTCTATATCTATCTCGATTCGTTTTGCCTGTTACAAACAGCCGTTATGTGAACAAAGTTATAATACCCTTGTGCGCAAGTACGCTCGGGTATAAAAAGAAATCTCAAAATCAAGCATCTTGCTAAGTCTGCATGTTCTGATACAGAATTTATAATTCAGAGGTTTCCGACGGTATAACCAAAGTTCTGATTTCTTGTGTGTATAAGCCACATAATTGTTTCATGTTAAATTGTTTCTTTTCTGAATTGCCTTTTAGATCATTTTATTGTCTCTGGCCTGGAGCGAGATTCTGTAACCAGTTAGCGACCATTTTCGGATCGCTATCGCACTTTCTGACGCATGATATAAATGTTTTTGCGTCAAAAAGTGCGATAGCGATTCGAAAATTGTCGGTAACTGGTTACAGAATCTCCCCCCTGACCTATATTCTTAAATTTGACCAACTATTTTTTGTATCTCACCATGATTTAATTTTCTGTACTTTTGATGTAGTGTTTGAACGTTCTGCAGTTTGTGTTTCTAACTTGTATCGTTATTTTCGTTCGTTATTCGTGCATTGTTCTCTGATTGTTCTTCTATTCATTGGAATGATTGTTGGTATAATGAAACGGTAGACAAGAAGCTCGAATTCCGTAATAATAATTTACTATTTTTGATCGTCATGTCCCCGTCCGTACTGCCAACGTTATCAATAAATCCTGCCCTTGGTTTAATAAAAAAGTAAGTTTCGCTATAAAAATAACGCAACAAAATGCACGCCAAATAAAGAAGGTCGAAGGTAAAATGGTAATTGTAAAATAATCGTAAAACTATTTTCAAGAAATATGTATTCTGCAGTTGTCTAAAATCTATCCATCGAACATTCCTTTGTGCTAGCTGCATCAACTTTACTCGACCCGAGGTTAAAAAACATTAATTTCAAAGATTCGTTAGCATTGAACTCAGTAATGAAGTTCTTGCGAAATGAAATAATTTGCGCAGATGATCTTATGGAAACGGGTAGCGAGTCGTCACTAGAATAAGTGGAAAATTAGATTGATCTTTGGGCCCCTCATAAATATCTTGTACACAAACGAACGCGAAAGATGATGATTTGGGTCACCCACAAGATGAAATGAACTTTTATTTAACTTGTCAAGTCCTAGAACTAAAGCGGAATATCATCGACACTTGGGAGGAAATGAAAACTGTAATTTAGTTGGTACCTCGGTACCTGCTGAGCGCCTGTTTTCAAATCTGGTGCTACAGCCGACGAGAAACGCAATTGCTTAACAACAAGACGCTTATCAAAACTTTTGTTTTTGCAAACTTGGTTAAATCTATACATATAATAAAATTATAACATGTCGATGTCTGTTCATTATATAAACTAAAGAAAAATTAATATGGGGGGTCCTTATTCGAGCAACAGAATCCAAATCAACAATATGTAGAATTTTTTTCTGTCTGTCTGTCCATATGTTTGTACGCGCATCGCTCGAAAACTAATCCATGAAATTGAATGCAGTTTTCACCGTTGCATTGAGGTCTAACTTAACATATAGAAAGAAAAAAATTAGGGAATTGCCACCTGTTTGAAAATAGCAGTTTAAGTAAATTGATGAGTAAAGTAACTATTGCAAGGCTTACAGCCGAAAATTATTTTTTGAAGGTTGCCATGTTTGAAAATTTGAATTCAGTTTAACTGACAAGATAAATTGAATATCACAATCAGCCTCATTGCGTAAGTCGTAAATTAGGCTGAATTGTACGACTCGACAACATTAGCATTATCTACTGTCGTGCTGAAATAAGTAAACGACGGAAATCGTCGAAAACTATGCAGTGCTGCCAAATTTTACCGTTTTAATACACTAGTCGAGTGGAAATTTTAGGCAATGACGCTAAATTTTCGATACGATTCGACTCTCGAAAAACGACTTGCATTCGGCACAACTCTCGCAATGAGGCTGATTATGTGTATCAAACTGAAGAGGTTTAGGAGCGTTTACTGCCGAAAATATTTTTGAGGAGGCTTGCCACCTGTTTGAAAAATTGTATCAAATTAAATTGATAAAATAAAGAAATATTACAATACGGGTATCAAACAGCACAAAAACACTTTTAAGGCGCAGTGAATCACGCCGGGTATTTCCTAGTAATAAATAACTATCGCCGCTAAAAATCGTTCGCTAATTAACAAGAGAATTAGAATTTTTTTATGGAAAAGTATTTTTGTGAATACTCACTGTAAAATAGTGCCTTTAAAAAATTTTTTTTTTTGGCTTGTGATTAATCATACGATTAATTAATTGATTATTTTATTTTTTTGCCATCCCTAACCGTTACAATATTTTTTTGAGGTGAGCATGTTTTACACTTACCCAAATACACAAACACAAAATATTACACCAGGGCTTTTGAATTTTTTCTCCTTGATTTATTGTGCTCAACGAAAAACCAATATTAAGTACAGTAAAACCCGCTTAAGTACCTCACGAAAAATGCCAGCTTTTTGAGGTACTTAGCCGGGTTGGGTATTTAAAAGAACCCGCTTAAGTACCTCGATGTGGGTACTTAAGCGAACATAATTATTGATGTAGTTACATCTCCTTGTTAACTTGCATAAATATGTAAATCCTTGATTAAAACATGAACATTTAATGAAGTATACATAGTTTAAAACCAAGATTGTAGCATTATTTAAACAGATAAACAAATAAAGATAAACTTTATTTAATTTGTGGTTTTCAAATACTAATTGTAGTAGCCGGCCTCTGCCACTTAATGACTTTGTAAGTTTTGAGATGCAGCATGGTTCACAGTTAGCTGTTACTTGCTGCGTTATATCGTTCAGTTGATATTTGTATTTGAAAGTTGGTGTCTCATATATGCGGCTGAATTGTCACGTCGAGCCGTTCCGTGTACCAAAAAAATTTGAATGTAACTCGCAAAATTTATTTAAAGATAGTTGGAAAAGTGACTTTGTAATAAGGGTCTAAATCGAAATTCTTATTTGGTATTGTGTCATGTGTAATTTTAAAATTATACTTTGCGTACATATTATTGTAACTATTATGATATTCATTTTCTTAGGTTTTAGTGAAAAAAGGATGTTTTGAAACTTATATAGAAGCGAACCAGCTACGCAACAGAAATTTAAACCAGGAGTATGTACCAGGAATAATAAAACAAAAATGTGTTATATTAATTGTAAACTAATTTTTGCAGAAAACAAGCATATTTCGCAATGTGTAGAATGTATCTCGTGTAACTTTCAAAGCGCGCCCTCCGAAGAGTTAAAAAAAATTTTATAAAGAAATGGTATGTCATTTTTACAATAATTAAATTCTTTAAAAGTTATTGATTATACAAACCCAGTGGGAAAAGTAGTAATGTATTACATGCCTGATAAGTAATGTAATGTATTACTCATAGTTCTAGATTCTATTACTGTTTAATATGTAATCAACATTCTAACGGATCCAAAAACTCGCAAAAAATTCAAATCAAATTGCATTCATTCCTGCATTACTCGTAATGCAAAATTGCATGCCCCACTTTTCCTAGGACATCGCCGTGGGAAAAATAATGCATTTGCGAATGTGAAAACGGCTGTTTTACTGATTATTTTTTAGATTACTATACATTACATTTTTCCACTGGATATTTATACATATGTACATACAAACTGTGTTTAACATATTATTTTGAGCCAAATTCAGAACAATATTGATTTCCACCTATGCTTATTTCTTAATTTTTAAGATTTTCAATTAAAACACAGTTCATTCCCTAACAAATACCATATAAACCTTAGCTTAAGATTTTGTAGAACATTAAAAAAAAAATTATCAAAATTTCAAACTTTTTTCTCAGAAGTGTTTTTTACAGTTTTACTGCCCATTCATTTTAGTGTAATAATGAGCAAGGTTCAAGTGGCTAAAATTACCGTTGATTTTTTTGAAATTTTCTGCCGAAGGTGTGTAGCGCTGCCACTGAATTTCAGAATATGTAAATATTTTAAGGAATCTTAAAAGAGCACTTAAAATGGGAAAATTATAAGTAAAATGGTAAATAGTGTACGAAAAATTTAGGCACTTAGGCGGGTTGGGTAAATAAGCGGGGAGGTACTTAAGAGA